TGAGGTTTGGGTTTGCGCTCTTGTACATCTTCCTTCCGGGTGTCCGGACCAAGTCTGACCCAGTTCTGAAACACTTTAAACTTTATACCCTGTTCTGAAACACTTTGCATCCAATCTTCCTAAACCTTTCCCCTGTGACTCCGGAAATATGTCTATATAGAGCGATTGTACAGTTGCGCGTTTGCGCATACTTCATGATTTCATTTCATAAAGAAATGGAAGATCGTTCCACATGAAACCAAGCATGCGCATTCCTGGTCCCCTGATGGTCCCGGAATGGAGCCGTTGATTCCATGCTAGTGGCGGTTATGTTTACATTTTCTCCGCCTTGATTCCGATTTGTAATGTTCTGCGCTATTGTTGCTGCTATTGAAACCGTCTATGTCAATTGTACATGATGGACCCCTGATTTTTTTTTCCGTTCCAAAAATCAGGTTACGCTTACGTGGTGGTTTGGGTTGGTGGTTTGGAAGTCTGGAAAATCAGTGTTTTCAAAGTATTTTATTTTAATATAAAAGTGTATAATTTTAATGAAAAAAATAAACAAACTAATCAATAGTTTATTTCATAGTTAAGTTATTAAATAATTCTTTTTTTTCTTATTGACTTTTAAATTTTATGATTTGTCTTCCAATAATATAAGATTCTGGATGAGATAGATGAGATAGATAGATTTATTAGATGGATGGGATGGGATGGGGTATGATTGATAGATAGACAGACAGACAGATAGATAGATAGATAGATAGATTGATAGATATATAGATAGAAAGAAAGAAAGATAGATAGATAGATAGATAGGATCGGATAGGATAGGATAGATAGGAAAGATTGAGTGGTTAATTGAATTGATTGATTGCTGGTTGATTGATTTGGTTGATTGAATGAATGAATGAATGAATGATTTACATGAATGAATGGAATGAATTGAATTGAATTGAATTGAATGAATGAATGAATGAATGAATGAATGAATGATTTACATGAATGAATGGAATGAATTGAATTGAATTGAATTGAATGAATGAATGAATGAATGAATGGATGAATGAATGAATGAATGAATGAATGAATGAATGAACATGAATGAATGAATGAATGAATGACTGGCATAAGTAATCTATTTTTCAAGGTTTTGATACAGTTTAATTTTGTAAGTTCATAAAATCATGAATTCCCAGACTTCCAAACCGCCAACCCAAACCGCCGGATAAGCTCAAGTTGATAAAACGCACACCAGATTTATGTAGGTTAAACAGGCAAGTAAAAATTCTTTATAACAAAGAATTACCAGGGCTTCTTAGCCCAGCAAAACTGACTTTGTCCCTTGGCGTGGTGAGCAGACCTTGAGTAAACAAATCAACGACGTTCCACACAATAACGAAAAATTGACCATCAAACTGGTAACACAACTGGAGCAAAGAACGTTGAAATTCTGGCAAGTCTTGGGTCCCCGTGACGTTCTGCAATTTCAAAACCACCAGGGGTAGGTATGTAGCATCCCATGCACTTTCATGCATTTTATGGGTTCGGGATTAGCAGGCATATCCCTCCTGTAACACACCCGCAATTTGGCATTACACCATAGGTTGTTCCCACACAGGCTTGAAGCCCCGTGGCAAGTGTCCACTGGTTGACCTCTTTGAACGTATATCGAAACAACAATGGTTTTCTGGGTCCAATTGGCACAAATATTTGTTCCGTAATGTTTAGATGCGCAACGGAATTAGTACTATCTTTAGATGCGCAACGGAATTAGTACTATCTCTATCTATCTCTATCTATCTCTATCTATCTCTATCTATCTCTATCTATCTCTATCTCTATCTATCTCTATCTATCTCTATCTATCTCTATCTCTATCTATCTCTATCTATCTCTATCTATCTCTATCTATCTCTATCTATCTCTATCTATCTCTATCTATCTCTATCTATCTCTATCTATCTCTATCTATCTCTATCTATCTATCTCTATCTATCTATCTCTCTATCTCTCTATCTCTCTATCTCTCTATCTCTCTATCTCTCTATCTCTCTATCTATCTATGTATGTATCTATCTATCTATCTATCTGTTCTATCTGTTCTATCTGTTCTATCTATTCAATCTATCCTATCTATTCTATCTATTCTATCTATTCTATCTATTCTATCTATTCTATCTATTGTATCTATTCTATCTATTCTATCTATTGTATCTATTCTATCTATTCTATCTATTATATGTATTCTATCTATTCTATTTATTCTATCTATTCTATCTATTCTATCTATTCTATCTATTCTATCTTATCTATCTTATCTATCTTATCTATCTTATCTATCTTATCTATCTTATCTATCTTATCTATCTTATCTACCTCATCTATCTTATCTACCTTATCTATCTTATCTATCTTATCTATCTTATCTATCTTATCTATCTTATCTATCTTATCTATTTTATCTATCTTATCTATCTTATCTATCTCTATCTATCTATCTATCGATCTATCTATCTATCTATCTATCTTTTCTATCTTGTCTATCTTATCTATCTTATCTATCTTATCTATCTTATCTATCTTATCTATCTTATCTTTCTTATCTATCTTATCTATCTATCTATCTTATCTATCTTATCTATCTTATCTATCTTATCTATCTTATCTATCTTATCCATCTTATCCATCTTATCCATCTTATCCATCTTATCCATCTTATCCATCTTATCCATCTTATCCATCTTATCCATCTTATCCATCTTATCCATCTTATCCATCTTAGCTATCTTATCTATCTTATCTATCTTATCTATCTATCTATCTATCTATCTCTCTCTCTCTATCTCTCTATCTATGTGTCTATCTATGTGTCTATCTATCAATCCATCTATCTATCTATTAATCTATCTGCGTGTCTATCTATCTGTGTGTCTATCTATCTGTGTGTCTATCTATCTGTGTGTCTATCTATCTGTGTGTCTATCTATCTATCTATCTATCTATCTATCTATCTATCTATCTATCTATCTATCTATCTATCTATCTATCTATCTATGTGTCTATCTATGTGTCTATCTATGTGTCTATCTGTGTGTCTATCTGTGTGTCTATCTGTGTGTCTATCTGTCTGTCTATCTGTCTATCTGTCTACCTGTCTATCTGTCTATCTGTCTATCTATCTATCTGTCTGTCTGTCTGTCTATCTGTCTAGCTGTCTATCTGTCTATCTGTCTATCTGTCTATCCGTCTATCGGTCTATCTGTCTATCTGTCTATCTGTCTAGCTGTCTACCTGTCTACCTGTCTATCTGTGGTGCAGTGTCATTCAGTGTAGTGTAGTGGAGTCTAGTGTAGTGGTGGTTGTAGTTGAAAATGCTACAAAGCCCTTTCGTTTTGCTCACTTTTGAGAAGGTGCACTTCTCTCGCGCCTGCCACGCGGAAGCACATCTGAACCTCCAAAAGTGGTCCGAACCCCTGGTGTTTTTAACATTTTGACTTCGAAATGTGCTTCGCGCCACAACGGCGTGCGCTCTTTCGACATCTCAACTTCCAAAAGTGGTCCGAGAATGGTGTCTTTTGTAGATTTTGACTTGGAAATCTGCTTCGCGCCACAACGGCGTGCACTTTTTGCACATCGCAACTTCTAAAAGTGCTCCGGCACTGAGGTGTTTTGTACATTTTGACTTGGAAATGTGTTTCGCGCCACAACGGCGTGCAATTTTTTATCTCTCATCTGGCCATATGGCTCTGCACCCGCCGCTTTAGCGAGCTGAGCTTACTTTTCGACCCTCCGGAGCCACAAATCATTGGAAAAACACAGTGTTTAGCGACTTTCCTACCTTTTCGCGCACCTGTATCTTCTTGCTTCTGACTCTTTCTCTTCTCTGATCTTCTCTCTTCTGCCCTTCTCTTCTCTCTGCCTCTGCCCATCTCTGCTTTTTATCTGTCCATATTGTCGGAAGTTTGATTTCTAAATTTCCTTCGATGACACTTTTGGGAAGAGACATGGTTGCATGTATGCAGTATGCCCTTCCATATGAGTGAAACAACAGAACAAAGCAAACATCATTTTTAAGACATGGAATCTGTCCTTTTAAAGCAAATGGTATGAACAAACATGGCACGGCTTAGCTTCGTTTAAGGATGTATTGCATTTGTTCGCATATTGTATTTCTGCAAACATATGGTTTTTATTGCAGGAATTATCTTGTCTTCAAGGCAATTCTTTTGAAGAAATGGAGTCTCTCCGTTAAAAACAAATGCCATGGTGAAAAAATGAGAATGAGGCTTAACCTCATTAACGGATGTATTGCATTTTTCCACATTATAGTTTTCTTGCAAGCATATTGTTTCTTATTTAAGGGAATGTAAGGCAGATTGCAACCTGTAAGCAACATGTTCCTTCAACAAAATCTTTCTTGTTTCAAGGAATGCAGCAGTATGCATCGACCATTGCACCTTTTGACAGCAATACTGAATATCAATCACACACTGCATGTTGTGTAGGAATCTGATGTTTTGAAAAACATACTGTATGATTGAAAGCAGGCTTAATGCTACTATGAAAGGAAAACAGACCACACTTCTACAGAAAGGAACGCTGCATATTTAGAGGACTGCTTTATATTTTGTAGGGATACTCTTTCTTGAAAAAAGTGATGCCTTGCCTTGAAAGAAAATTGCAGCTTATGAATGAAAGGTCTATTTTGAAATGAAAACTTTTGCCAAGGCAACACTATATCTGGTAGATGAATGCCTCATAATGTGCATGGGCTGCATGGGTGCTTAAAGTCTACGATGAACTGATGAAACAACAATGACACCACCCTTCATCATATTTTAAAACACATGTAACACCATTTAACACGGATTTTTTCCAATGACCAGCTTATGTGGCGAATGAGTTGCTAAACCACTGGATGTTTCATGACATTTCAGCTTATTGCATGGGTTCCCCATATGATTTCGCACATTTTTGTGGCATTTCCCCCAATTTCCAGCTCCAAGCAGCTGGAGGCACCAGGCTGCAGTACTTGCAAGAGCTCAATGCTCCAGACCTGGTCGAAGCAGCAGACGGGTGAGTGCAAGGCCGGGCAGCCCACAGGATTCACTTTGTGGAATCTCCCATACACAATGTTTGGCCATGGCACAGAATGGCACATCTGTTTTTCCGAATTTCGGAGAGTTTTTGTCCAATCTTCCCTTTCGTGAGAGAGTATCTGTTTGCTATCTCCTATTTGGCTCCCCTGCAAGTATTTGAGCCATCTCGCTTGAAAATTTGCGGTTTGACGCAGCTTTTGCGTTGAACAGAACCAAGAAGCACCATATACCTAAGCGCCACATAGCGCCACCACACCACCCTTGGATCCCCAAGATTCCTTGGATCCATTGCCTCGAGGAGTACTGCAAGCACATGGGTCCCAACCTTTGGCAGTATGACGCCAACTGCAATGGCTGCGGTGGTGCATTGATGCAGGCGCACACGTGCGTGAGAAGAGGGATCCTGTTCTCATCTGTTCTCCAGTTGCTGGTGAAGTTTTTTTTTTTGGTGGTTTTGATTTTGATATTGAATTCCTTCCAAGCCAAACCTTATGGACTTATTTCATTTTCGTCACTGATGGTGGGCATTTCAAACGGATGGGATTGAAGGAAGAGCAATGCACAGTGAGGCATTGAAATCAGATGCGTTAAGAATAATGTGGTCAGATGATGTCAGATGTGTATCTGGTAGCAGAGGTTCCAAGAATCATCAAAATCCTCCAACATCATCCACCATCACATAACATCAATTAACATCACATAATATCAGGATTTTCGTGGCATGTTTGTCATCTTACAATGACAAGTGGCGCCTGAGACCTGGCAGGCCAACTCCACCAATGACAAGTGCCTTGGCTGATGTCAAGGATGACACATGGGTATGGATCAATACCTATTAATACCATTTTTAATGGGATGAACATCCATTTACCAGCTATTTTGGGGTTCACTAGGTACCAGGATTTTGACCCATCCCCACATTTTTTTTATCAGATGTAGATAGACATCAATATTTGTAGATAGACATGATATACTCAGAGCCGAGGGATCTACTCAAGTTTTTGTAGCTTCGAGAAATGTCCCATTTAGTTTGATGACAAATCCCTAGCCTGTAACAAATATCAGAAGGTCAGTTGCTCCAATATCACCATAAATGGATGGTTTACCAACCATGCTCAAATGGAAATTGTATATGCGAGCGTATCCCATTATATATATATCCACAGTCGTCCACAGTAATATTCCTTTGATATCCCATTCACATCCCATTAACATCCACAAAAACAGGACCGCATTCAATTCCCTAGCCTATACCATACTTAAAACCTCACAAAAGCCCTAAAATTTTGATGGGTAGATCCTTTTTTTTTAAATATAACTCCCCCCAAGAATATACGTCGATACCAAATCCGGTTTTATGTGATGATATTCCTTTGTTATCCCAGTTGGTAGCAGAACAATGGTTCTGGTAAAATTATACCTGGTAATTCCCACGATATTCTCATTGGTAACTGTCTATTTTCGGTGAACAAGTCACACTCCAAGCCAACAAAATCATCGGGAGCTTCCATGATAATTCCCATCATAGATGGTAAATCCCATTATCTTCTCATCATACCCTCCGGTAGCAAAACATGGCAGGGAAAATCCCCGAACGCTCCGGCTCCTGCCTCTCACACGCGCGGCGCATACATCCTATGGACGCAGTTGTCCTGCGGGGTGGGGAAGATCAAAGTGCACGCTGTGCGGCGGGACGGTTTCCTGTTGATACCCCTGGAAACCGTGGGCAGTCTCGGCGAATCCCACAGCCATCCAGCCCTGCCTCCCCGCCCCAAGCCGGCACCCCGCCTCCTGCGGCCCCACCCCAGACCACAGAGGCACCTGACTCCAGCTCTTGCAGCTACAGCGAGTCAGAGCAAGTGGCGGACGTGGCATCCCCTTCCCCCCACCCCGCTGCAGTCCTGACACCCGCCCCCAAGCAAGAACGTCCAACAGCCTCCCGTGCTAACCGCCCTTCACCACGTTGCAAGACGCATTTGAGGAGACGCAATGAACCGAAGACATCTGCGCTGGCGCGCCGCCGCACTCCAGCCCGCGCCGAACCCGCACACCCCACCACCCGGGCCAGCCCCTCCCCCGCCCACCCCCGCCTACCCCCCCCCCCCCGCCACCAGACCGGCCAGACCCGCCAGCCCCACCAGCCTCGCCACCACCGCCGCCCCCGCGGCACCAGCCAGACAAGCCAACCAGCACAGCTGCGGCCGACCCGTCACCGCCAACGGGGTGGGTTGAAGGTGCGAGCATGCCAAGAGCGAGCCCGCCAAGTCCGTGACCTGCGCGCGCCCCTCAGCGCACCAGTGCACTGGGACACCCTTGCGCACAGCCGCCAGAACTTCACCCTCCCAGCCGCAGCCCTGGCCGTCCGACCCCGAATCCCTTTGACCCAGCCCATCCCCCATCGGCTTCCCCCTTGGCTCCCTGCCCAGCGCCGAGGCCGAAACTAGAAGTTGCAACTTCTTTGAAAGCAGTGACCCCAGGCGCTCGAGCACCCGCCGAGCCCCACCTTTTGAAGCCTTTTGCTTTTCTGGGCGCCGCCCAATTCCCGCACCGCCCCGTACCCCGTGTGCGTCAACCTTTTTCAAATTTCAAGCAGGCAGACACCGGGGAAGAGTCCAGGCGGCGGTCGAATTCACGCCGCGCGGAGGAAGGTGTGACACATAGGAACGAAGCACACCAAACAAAAAAAAGGACAACAAAAAAAAAGAAACACACACACACACACCTTCCTTTCAAACTTCTGCGTTTGTGTGCGCCGCCTTTGAAGCCCCATTGCACGGCAGCACCACTCGCCTGTGCATTTTGCAGCCTTCGGCTTCGTTTTTCATTTACTTTTCCAACAAGTCCCTCACAGTTGTCGCTCCCCAGAAGAAAAAAAGGGGGGAGGACCAGGAAGCGACACAGAGCGACAGGACTCAGTACAGGCGGCGTGCCCAGGCCCAGTTTGTACAGCCTGGCAGAGGACCAGCAACCGGAGTTGAGAGCAGCCAAAACGTCGATCGGGCCCGGGTGGGATCCGGTAGTAACCCTTGCCGGGCTCCGCCCGCCACTGCCACCCCTTCCGGGCACCGCCCGTGCTCACCCGACCCTTCCCCTTGCTGGGCTTCGCCCCACCCGGCCCCAGCCCCGTCCCCTTGCCCCAACTTCACACACGAACCCTTTGGCCCGACCCCCACCCCCCGACCCGCGACTGCCCCCATGAGCGCCCGCCCGCCGCTTCCGAGCGCCGCCCGTTTGCCCTCCTGCCTGGCCCTCCAATCACCCGACTCTACCATCACACCCCGATAACGCCCTCGGCTCTGGGCCCAGCCTGGTCCGCCCCCCTTCCCAAATAAGAGCATGGGACAGGAGATCTAAGATCAAAATAGTCTAAAAATAGTCCTAGGATGTCCTAGGAGTAATTTAGTCAAAAATAAGGATTTAGTCTTTAGTCGCTGGAGTAAATTTACTCCTTTTAGGAGTAAATTGGAAGACTAAATTTACTCCTAGGACTAAATTTACTCCCCGGACTAAATCGATATTTACTCCTTTTTGTAATGCAAACTGCATTATGAACAATGCAAACTGCATTATGAGCAATGCAAACTGCATTATGAGCAATGCAAACTGCATTATGAGCAATGCAAACTGCATTATGAGCAATGCAAACTGCATTATGGGCAATGCACTTTGCATTGCTTTGCCTAAATTTACTCCCGGAAGTTGAGCCTTGATTTACGTAATTTTTTGGGTAGTAATTTACTCCCCCCGGGAGTAAATTAGTCGGGGAGTATTTTTAGACTATTTTGATCTTACAGGTACCACCTCCCCTGTTTAGCGCGGAGCAGCGCCGAATCCCCAACCCAGTCTGCGCGCTCTGCCGAACCCGTGGCCTGTGCAACGAGGACGACAACCTTTCCCACGCCTGCAAAAACACCGACAAAACAACCCGCCATCAACCCTTCCAGGACTCCGAGCCCGAGCCCGCCACTGCACGCGGTTCTGCCCCCCCGCCCGCACCGGTCGCTCCCCGGATGAGCGCCCCCACCTGGCGCACCCGACCCCCCACCGGCCCCATCCGAACTCCGGCCAACTCGTGGCTTTATGTGCCCCTCCTTCTGGCCGCGGCCCAAGAGCTACACCCAGCTGCGATGGAACAGTGGCAAGCCGCCTGCGGCAGCTGGTGGGATCAGGCCCGGCGCGCGCTCGCCGCCGCGCCCCCCGTGCCCCCTGACCAGCTTATCGCTGCCCTGGACATCACCCCCGCAGCCGGTGCCGACGGGCTCTGTGAACGCCTCCGCACAGCCAGCAGGCCACTGCCCCCGCAAGCACAGGTCCATTGCAGCAGCTCCGCGACCCCGCACGCCGCCCGCCCGAGCCAGCCCGCCCCCTTCCGCCCGCACTCCTCACGCAGGCGCCCCCCGAACTGATTCTATCGGAAGAGAAATTTCTCGCCAACCTGCGCCAAGCCCGGCGCGGCGCAGCGGCGGGACCATCAGGGGCCACGGCAGAACATTTGCGCAGCCTCCTGGACTCGGACGCCGATGCCCGCCTCCTCTTCCTTGCAGCACAGCAGCTTGCCCGCGCCCAGCTCCCAGACAGCATCCAGGCAGCCGTGCGGCTCGGACGACTGGTCATGAGCGACGTGTTCCGGCGACTGGTGTCACGCACCTTGGCTCAACAGTTCGCGCCCGCGTTCGAGGCCGCGTGCATGCCCCACCAACACGCCCTCAGCACCAAAGCGGGCGCCGAAGCCTTAGTCCGACACCTCCGCGCAGCAACGGAGTTAGACCCCCGCGCAACGATCTTGAGCGTCGATGGCGTGGGAGCGTATGATCATGTCTCCCGGCATGCCATGCTGGCGGCGATTGCAGCCAACCCAGACACAGCCCCCCTCCTGCCCTGCCATGCTGCGCGGCTTGTATGGCACCCCCTCCACGTACCTCTGGTACGACCAGCATTCCACCCCCCACACAATCCTGCAAGGCGACGGAGGCGAACAAGGTGACCCCCTGATGCCAGCTATATGTTCAGCCTCGCCCTCCACACCGCCCTCACCTCCATTTCCCCCCATCTCCAACCAGGGGAAACCCTCTTGGCTTACCTCGATGACTTATATGTCGTCTCCCCCCCACCTCCCTTTCACAGACGCGACTTGCCGGTGCGGGGGCCCCCTGGGTGAGTTTGGTGACCACCGCAGTGCATGCCCCACCGCTGGCTTCCTGCGCGCCCGCGCCCTGCCCGTTGAACGCGCGGTCGCTCGCATATGCCGAGAAGCCGGCGGCAGACTGCACACCAACATCCCCCTCAACCAGATGAACCTTCCCCACCCCCCTCAAGACTCTCGGGCGATCGAAGTCTTGGTGAACGGCTTGCCCCTGTGGCATGGAGCCCAGGTGGCAGTGGACGCGACCCTGGTCAAGAGATGGACTGCCCCGCCGGCGGGCCGACACCCACCCTGGCGCCACCGTCCAAGAAGCCGCGCGACGCAAACGCACCCAGACCTACCCGGAATTCTACAACTCCCCGAGGTGCCGCTTTGCCGTCTTTGGCCTTGAAATCGGTGGCCGGTGGTCCACCGAGGCGGTCACCTTGATTCGCCAGCTGGCCCTCGCCAAGGCCCGAAAAACCCCCCGCTGGGCTCGCCAACAGGCAGCACGAGCCTGGAGCTCGCGCTGGGCTAGCCTTGCGGCCGTCGCAGCTGCCCGCGCTCACGCCGCCAGCCTCCTGGAGTTACCCCTCCACGGAGAAGAGGCGATGGACGCCCCCCCCCTTCCCTCCCCACCCTACTTGCTGACGCGCGCTGGGAAGACCCCCCTGTCCCCAGCCGGCTGCCGCCTTAACCCACGAACACTGACGCGCAGCAAAAAGGAGTTTGGGGAAAAAAACTTTAGAGGTTTTATATAATGGGAAAATCATCGACTTCACTGGTGGATTTTCCAGAAAGCTATGTTTGATTGCCGGGGGATGATCACCACTCAGGATTGTCACCACTATTAACCATCAATCACCACTCATCAACATTAATCACAACTAATCACCACTAATCAACATTAACAATGAATCACCACCAGTAATCACCACCAGTAATCCCCATGATATCTGCTTCAAGGTGCAGTACTTGGACCGGGGGCACCTGCGTCTTCTCCAAGTGCGACGCGTCTCGTGGGATGGTGCAATGCAACTGGGCCAAGGCCTGCGTTTGCGCCACCAACTTCTGCGCCTGGGACGTTGGGCCGTTGGGACATGCGAAGGGCCATGGGAACATCTCAGGATTTCGGAACCCTAGAGCTACTGTAGCATATAAAACCATACAAAACCATATAGCTTGGGGGTATATCCTTAGCAGCCTTAGCACTCAAAAACAGGCCTTATATATGCTAGGTACCTCCAATTTAGGTTCTCTGTTCCTGAAATGGCCATTGGGAAAATACGGGAAACTATATGATTGTCCATAGTCTCCCCAAGAAAATGGCTTTTGATTGTGACTTATGATCAGTTTATGATGGTTATGAAAAGTGAATGAGTCACTTCTTTTTTTTGAGGGGATAATCTGATGGAAAATAAGGCGATTTTCAATATTTTCCCCATGAATAATGAGACCTTTGATTATGATTCACGATTATTTATTATCAGTTTATGGTGACTCTTTGCACATATTGGGGAAAATGATGATAAACCAATGGATTTACTAGGACTTTATAGATGTGTATGGCTATTTTCACGGGAAAATATGGAAAATTACGACGAACCACTGCTTTTTGGGGGATGGTATTATATATATATATATGGTATGCCCTATTTTGGACAGCCACGGGCGTGCTGAGGCTCCAACGATCAAGGCATCTGCATCTTCGACGTGTCAAGCGTTTTGCGATGAGATCGGCCAAGGTGGAGCACCTTTCGGAGGGCCAGGGCCAGGGCCACGAGATGCCACGAGGTATACGAGGTATGACCTGAGGCTTGAACCCTAGTCCAGCCCAGAGTTAGCCCAGAGTTGGCCTCGGATTTTGATCCTTTTGAAAGCGCTCATTTCAATGATCGCTACAGAAAATGGTGACCCGCAAATAGCTGTGAGACCATTGTGACATGAGCTGTGGTGACTTCAGGTGCGCTTCTTGTATTGTAGTTCTTGGATGTTCGTGGCAGTTGATGCAGTTCCTTTGCCTGTAGTCCTTTGTTGTGGCTCCTGTGCATAGCCCCAAATGACGACGTCGCAGCCTTTCATGACGCCACACAGGTGAGGAGGTGTATAATTTTCAACTAGAAACATTTTGAAACCTGCCTTGAACATCTTGAACATACGATTGTGCGTGTGAGTAGGAGTTCGAAGCACCGTGCAGGCCCCCACTGAAGGAAGAAAACTGTTTTTCCATGTTTTTCCAGGACTTCTACAAGGTTGTATCATGTTGTATCTAGTGCCCATGAGAATTCCACTGCCAAAGAGCCAAGCTTTGAAACACCGGAGACGAATGATGCCATGGCGCTGCCAGAGGGCCAGCGTGCAAAGGAAACATGACCCGGCGCCGCGAGGAAGTGTCAGGCAGTTCACTGGTAAGGGCTTCGATGGCCAGTATTTTTTATGATGATCAAACCCATGATAAGTGGAGAATTAATATGAATTAATGCATTTATCATGATCAATTCCATTGAATAAAATGATTACCCTCTGGTTATTTAACATAGCCATGGAAAATTGCCCATTTATAGATGATTTTCCCATTGAAACCTCCATTTATAAGGGATTTTCCATGGCTATGTTAGTCATAACCAGATGGTAAATCATCATTAACCATCATTAACCATATATGAACCATATATGAACCATATATTAACCATATATTAACCATCATTAACCATGGATAATTGATAATCTGTGATCGATAATCCATTGAATCCCTTGGATTTTGGGGCGTCCCACTTGAAAAATTGCAGGCGATGCCGACAATGCCCCGGATGCCAAAGTTGCGCGGGTGCAACGGGTCATCGAACAAGGCAGGGGGTATGGGCCGTAGATGTGGCTTGTTGCTGGCAATTGAGTTGGGGGGTTGGGTTTTGGCACATTAAGAGGGGGTTGATAAATAGTTGGACAATCCTGGACAATGTTAGACCTTTCTGGCATGACTGGGAAAGTGACGCGCTGCAACATTTCCTCTTCTGGTTGATGGTTGCTACATCCTTTGGGCCTCTGGGTCAATGTCAACCTTGGGATGCTGAGTCAGAAGCAAATCCTCCAAGGCATGACATGTGAAAAAAGGAGCAGGTGATTTGATGGGATTAGCTATCTATCTCCAATGCGCGACCAGCCCAGGGACCTTCCTCTTAGACTTTCCTCAGGAAGAGTTCAGGCCTCAGATACGCGCCAGACATGGGCATTGGGGGGACGTACAAGTTTCAGGATTCCATCAGATGTCAAAGTCTGATACACAGGTCCATCTGATGTCATTTGCAACATTTATCCAATTTTTGTTATCAAAACTTTGATCTCACTGAACATTTCAAAATTCACGTCCATTTCTTCAAGATTCTTTGAAGCATGGCCACTTGCCTAGGTCTGTCTTTCAGCAAGGTGGGAGCCTCAAGGGTCTAGACAGTGACTCCATTGGCGATCCATGGTGATGGTCCATTGTCTGTTCAATCAATTCAATCTCGGTGGGTAAAGCCCGGATATGGATGGACTGGATGGATATGGATCTACGCGGGCTTTTGTGTCTGTGGGCCAAAAGGTACAGCCAAAAGGCAAATCATCTCTTCGAGAGTTTTTTTAAAGTAAGATCCTCTTGTCTTTCCGATGAGGGGTCATTTTTGCCTTGAGCCTTGGTGGCCTTTGTGGCCTTGGTGGCCTTGGTAGGTCCCTGGGTCAGTTCGCCCATGTTCGCCCGGTGTATTTGATCATTGCCCGAAGCGAGTAGTTGTGGATTTCGGAGCGCTTGCGCAGCCATGTATTCACCTTTTCCTGGTGTAGCGCCAGCCGCTCGAACGAAGAGCATCCCACATGAGGAGAACCCATGCAGTCTAGAATAGTCGAGAGTCTTTTGATAATTTTCAAAATGTAAGGAAATTATTGGATTGGCTGCCGTTCCTGTGTTCAAACGGCCTTTATTCACAGGGTCAACAACTTCTAGTTGCTGGCGCATGATTGGGGAACGATGAGAACTGGGGGCCGGCTCTCACGGCTATTCCCAAAGAGTTACGGCATGGGTTTTTGTGTGAAAACAGGGTTGCTCCAAATTTGATGGTTAATCATGTTATATTTATAAATATATATATATATTTAGGATTTTACCATATTTTCCAAATGAAAATTACCATTTGCGCAAGTCCGCATTTTCAGATATACGCCCAAATAGAGGTTACCAGACAGCTGGTTCGAGTGCTGGAAATGCTGGGATGATACATGAAACTGGTGAATGGTTTGTGCTCACTTGACATGTCAGGGTCAACGACCTTACTAACTACATCTAACTACACTGTAACCAGATGACTACATACTCGTACATGGAAAAAGGAGAGAGTGAGAGAGATGCACACACACACAGATATTCCTACCTACCTACCTACCTACCTTCCTACCTACCTACCTACATACATACATACCTACCTACCTTCCTACCTACCTACCTACATACATACATACCTACCTACGTACATACATGCATACATTACATTACATCACATTACATTACATTACACTACATTGCATCACATCACATCACATTACATTGCATTGCATTACATTGCATTGCATTGCATTGCATTACATACATTACATACATTACATATATTACATACATTACATACATTACATACATTACATACATTACATACATTACATACATTACATGCATTACATGCAGTACATACATTACATGCATTACATACACTGCATACATTACATACATTACATACATTACATACAGTACATTCCGTACCCACATTACCTACATTAGCTACATTAGCTACATTAGCTACATTAGCTGCATTAGCTACATTAGCTACATTAGCTACATTAGCTACATTAGCTACATTAGCTACATTAGCTACATTAGCTACATTAGCTACATTAGCTACATTAGCTACATTAGCTACATTAGCTACATTAGCTACATACATACACATACACATACACATACACATACACATACACACACATACATACACGTACATACACGTACATACACGTACATACACGTACATACACGTACATACACGTATATACACGTACATACACGTACATACACGTACAAACACGTACATACACGTACATACACGTACATACACGTACATACACATACATACACATACATACACATACATACACATACATACACATACATACACATACATACACGTACATACACATACATACACATACATACACATACATACACATACATACACGTACATACATACATACATACATACACGTACATACACATACATACACATACATACACATACATACACATACACATACATACACATACATACACATACATACACATACATACACATACATACACATACATACACATACATACACATACATACACATACATACACATACATACACATACATACATACATACATACACATACATACACATACATACACATACATACATACATACACATACATACACATACATACACATACATACACATACATACATATACATACACATAAATACACATACATACACATACATACACATACATACACATACATACACATACATACACATATGTGAATAATCCCTCAGCGGCAGCCATTAGGGCCCGTTGCTCGGGTGCGTCCAGTGGCCAGAGGAAACTTTTTGTTGTGGTTGTGCTGAGCCATCTGGGGTTGGCAAATGAACCATGTTAGCATCCATTCACAGGTTATCAGTCCGCAATGCTCTACTGAGCCGGATATGAGATCAAAGGCCCAAAATAGAAAGAGGCCGCAGAACTTGTGGTCAGTGAGCGCCTAACTAGGGGGGCTTGGTGGCTCATACCCCTCGGCCACTGAACGAGGTTGGATCATGAGCTGATGGCACCAGCTTGGAGGGAGGCTGCAAGCCAAAATCACAAGCTTGACGGCACCAGTTGGAGGGGAGCTACGGCATGTTCCAAAGCGCAGAGGGCTTCCTGATTGTGTTGTCACCGATGGCATGGGACCATGTCATCGGCGAGGGGGGTGTGAATAATCCCTCAGCGGCAGCCATTACGGCCTGTTGCTCCGGTGCGTCCAGTGGCCAGAGGCAACCTTTTGTTGTGGTTGTGCTCAGCCATCTGGGGTTGGCAAATGAACCATGTTAGCATCCATTCACAACATACATACACATACATACACGTACATACACATACATACACATACATACACATACATACACATACATACACATACACACATACATATACATATGCATATACATATACATATACATATACACATATATATATATACACATACATACACATACATACACATACATACACATACATACACATACATACATACTTACTTACTTACTTACATACATATACATACACATACATACATGCATATATAATTATTTTTTACATATACACATACACATACATATACATATATACATATACATGCATATACATACATAGACATATACATATACATATACATATGCATATACATATACATATACATATACATTGACATACATATACATTGACATACATATACAGATACATACGTTGACATACATTGACATACTTTGACGTACATTAACATACATTGGTATACGTTGACATACATTGACATACATTGACATACATTGACATACATTGACAGACATTGACAGACATTGACATACATACATTGATGACACACATTGACATACATTAACATACATTGGCATACGTTGACATACATTGACATACATTGACATACATTGACATACATTGACATACATTGACAGACATTGACAGACATTGACATACATACATTGATGACACACATTGACACACATTGACACACATTGACACACATTGACATACATTGACATACATTGACATACATTGACATACATTGACATACATTGACATGCCTACCTACCTACGTACGTACGTACGTACATACCTACCTACGTACATACGTACGTACGTACATACGTACGTACGTACATACATACGTACATACGTACAGACTATATTATATAACGCACAAATCTTTTACAATGTAATTGCAGATGATATAGCAATATATACCATGATATACCTACTTCACAAATTTTCCCAGTGACCGGTGAGGTTTTCTTGACGGTGAAGATTAGCCTCGAAGATCCCTTGCTGAGCGGCTTCCATCGTCGCGGCCGTCGCAAGCTTAAGGAGATCGAGGAAGGCATTCCGTTGCTTGGCTGCTGCCGGGGCTGCCCTAGTGAGAAAAACCGGAGAGAGATATAATGCAGCTAAAAGGAATGGACATGAATGGACTATCAATAGTAGATGAGAGTTGTATGCCATATTATACTATATTATACTTTGAATCTTGGAACAGCTTTTAAAATGTCAATAAAGAATGGCCGCTCAGTCGGTTTATCCCTTCTGCTTCCCACATGTTTGCCATGTTGGAAGTGGGAACCTCTCCATCTTTGATCAAAGATATTGATATCTTCCAGCGGGTTACAACTTACAACTTGCAACCCAGTGGCCCGGTGATCCAATAAGTCATCATGCTGGATTATTGCTGACATCGCCAGATGCACCAGTGAGATGTTTGGGCTGAGGTTCCATGTTCCATGGATTCTGTTCAAATGAGATGCTTTTGGGTCATTTTGTGGAATTTTTCATTCCCACCATGCCATGCTGGGACCAGTCGCTACCAGGGATTGCCATGTGAAGTTTGAGAAAGCGAATGCTTGTTTGATGGTGAGCGGAAGCCTGGAAGCCATCGAGATGGTCAGATTCAGGGTGGAATGCATGACAGGCCGGCACCGTGATCAGCTTGTTAGTCAGCTTGCAGAAAAATCGGACAAGTCATATCAAGTCATATCAAGTCCAGATTTGGTATAGATTTGGTCCGTATTTGGTCCATTGATGTCCATTTGAGACCCCCTGAACCAGACTTCTGTTGCTCACCTGGCGGATTTACGGAGCTCCGGAGCTCCGTGAGGCCCGAGGAAGCGGCTGTCGGTAGCGACCTGGGCTGAGATGATGAGAACCAGGACGCGCCGTTTGCGCCGTCATCAAACATGGCCTGAAGTCCTGGAGAATGGAACCGCATTGAGATATGTCAGATATATTAAGATCATATTAAGATGATGATCATGTTCCCAGCTATAAATCTTGATGATCTTGATGTCTATATAGTTCGAGGATTTCCCAGATTTGATTACCGGAGGGTGATAGTCACGGTTATAGGTGCTCTAAATCATCTATTTCTATGAGCCATGGCTCTCATAGCACACTTAGCAGTTGAATTACCAAAGGGTAATTTGATATTGGCAAACCTTGGTGAAGGGTTCCAGACACCCAGGAGATTTGGGGAGGTGTGGATCTTGGGCATTACAGAACCCCCCAAAAGATAGAACAGTTCATCAGTGATTCACCACTGACATTCACTGACAATTTCGTAGGATTTCTCTTTTCTATCCTTTTTTTAAGGGGTTGCTACATGCCCAACAAGAGATTTCCACTGACAGGGATTGCTTCAGGACTTGCGACGCGACCTCCGCGTAAAGCGACCAGAATCAACCAATCAACAGCTCAAACTCCGAATCGAAATATGAAACTTAGAAAACACCATAACCAGACGATCAATTCCATCCAATCCAATCATCATTATGTAACTTGTATTAACTTGGTGCACATTTCCCCCAAAAAACGGACAAATGTCCCATGAACTCGCCATGAACATACAATTCAATCCCATTCCATTGAAAGCGAAAGACATTTCCATAAAAAGTCCCATGAAACTTCCACTCAACATCACAACAAACATCACAACAAACATCACTAAACTACAATTCAATCCCATCAATCCCATCAATCCCATTGAAATTCCACAATCCCATGGAAAATCACCAGATTTTTGCCGTCAGGATGTCCCAGGACCAGGGGGCCATAGTCGCCGAGATTCAGCGCCTCACGGGTTGCCGGTTGCACATTGAGCGCGGCTCCGCTGAGGTGAGGAACACGTTGATTGATGACATTGGAACTGGATCAATGTTAAGTATCGTAATGTATAGTACCCTCTGGTAAACATACAAAAAGCTATGGAAAATCACCATGTTCAATGGGAAAATCCGCTATAAATGGTGATTTTCAATAGCTATGTTAAATTACCAGAGGGTGTATAAAAAACATGTACATATCATATAGACTATAGACATACATTATAAAATATTATAAACACACACACACACATATATATATATATATAAACCTACACGCACATATCTATCTAATCTATCTATCTATCTATCCATCCATCTATCCATCCATCCATCCATCCATCCATATCTATCTATCTATCTATCTATCCATCTATCTATCCATCCATCCATATCTATCTATCTATCTATCCATCCATCTATCTATCGATCCATCCATCCATCCATATCTATCTATCTATCCATCCATCCATCTATCTATCTATCCATCCATCCATCCATCCATATCTATCTATCTATCCATCCATCCATCCATCCATCCATATCTATCTATCTATCTATCTATCTATCTATCTATCTAAAGTCCATTTACATGTGTGTGTGACTCATCTGTAGAGATGTAAAACTTCGACGTTTGTTCGTTTTTTGTTTATGAAGGGGGCATGCGGCCATCATGCAAACGCATGCCAACGAAGCTATGCATGATGGTGGAAGCCGGGGCTGATCACCCTGGTGTACCTGCATTGTTGTGACTACCTGTTGTTCAGGGTTTGCTTCCATTCAATTGTCAATGTCTGGTGATGGGAAGAGGCTCAACCCAAGAACCTCCAAGTCAATTTTATTTCTTCACGGTTGCCACAATCTGTATTTTCGCCGAAACCATGTCGCCGATGTATTTTGCTCATTTCGCCGAAACCACATCGCCGATTGTATTTTGATTTTTTCGTCAATATCATGTCGCCAATGTATTTTGATGACGTTTTTGGACATGGAGACCATGCAGGAGAACTTCTATTATTTGAAGATGCATCGTTGATTTCTTTGTTTCCTATCTAATCTGCATGTTTCAGGATTCAGTTCCTGCCGGATCACTCAAATGATCCATTCTTGTCTAGTGTGATTCCTATGGTGACTCCGACATGGTGCCAGAGGGCCAAGTGAGGCAACCCCAGTTGGGGCCAATGTCGACTGAATTGACTTCCGAATTTACACTTTTGAATTAGTAATTCGTTTAAGTAATGTGCAACAGATGGCCTTACTGTTGTGTGCCTTTGACGAAGTCCCGCCGCTCCTGTGGTCGCAGGGATTCCTCGCCGACGCATTTCTTCATCTTTGAAGCTGTTCTGAACATTCAGAAACCTCCTTCTTTCGCAGCAACCTTTGCAGTTACATTACATGAGACAGAACGCAGGCAGGTACACGATCTTTAGGTGTGGCCTTCTTTCTTTTGATGGTTCTCTGGTGAGGTCAAACATATTGTGCACCTAATTCGCTGGAACTTGAAAGCCGTTTATGCCTATTGTGGCTGACCTGAGCACGGGCCTGGAGTGGCACAACGCACGACTTCTAGGTTTTAGGAACTGAATCCTGTTTGTGACATTTTCAATGGCGGATGCAGCGTATCTACCTTTGATGCTCCTTGTCATTCCACGTTGTTCCTGGTTGGTAACATTTTTCGTCCCCTCAGCTTTTGGTTTTCTCAAATTTTCATCAGAGTTATTGTTTCACCCATGGAGAACAAGCGTGACGCAACTTCAGCGGGCTTGGGATAGCCTTTGATCTCGAATCGCGGAACCCACTCTACACTCGTTCCCGATGCAAGTACTATCGATGCCTCTACAAACCCGACCTCGACTCCTTCGGCATCTTTGGAACCAATGAGTACGTCTAGTGACCTAGCGGCAGCGGCACCTATGGACACATACTCAGCCCCTCCTCAACCTGCAGTTCCTTTCCCGACACACGATCCTCCACATTTCAGTGCTCACCGCCATGCACACTTTACCGCACGAGTGGTTCATCAGATTCACTTCAAGATCTTTACACACTCCAACAACGAACGTGAGCTATTTAAAGAGGAGATACCACCTTCGGGAAGTCTAAATGTCGAGATCCTGAACACTTCTTCTATGGCCTCTCGGGAAATTGGGAATGGTCCTTGCAAACTGCAGATTATTGGCGCCATCATTTTGAAATTCCTCTACTACATGGGAACAATCCTTTTCGCAACGTAGCCATTGAGACGACTCCATCGCCAGACGAAGCAGGACATGTCACTACTATCCCGGCTTTGGCCAGGCAGTTATCGGATTCACTGACGGCAGCTACGGCATCTGGGGAACTTAGCGACCCATGGAGAATGGTGGCACACATGAGCTTCCACGACGCGATCCAAGTTCTGCAGCAAGCTTTGAGCTCAACTTCTGAATAGACTGACAGCAGCCTTGTAAGTCACAATTTCGAAGGTTCACAACAATTCGTGCATCGACACGTAAGACCGCTATATTCTTCCAAAAATGAAACCCTGCTTTGGCAGGGTGTGTGTGTGACTCATCTGTAGAGATATAAAACTTCGACGTTTGTTCGTTTCTTTGTTTATGCAGGGGGCATGCGGCCATCATGCAAACGCATGCCAACGAAGCTATGCATGATGGTGGAAGCCGGGGCAGATCACCCTGGTGTACCTGCATTGTTGTGACTACCTGTTGTTCAGGGTTTGCTTCCATTCAATTGTCAATGTCTGGTGATGTGAAGAGGCTCAACCCAAGAACCTCCAAGTCAATTTTATTTCTTCACGGTTGCCACAACCTGTATTTTCGCCGAAACCATGTCGCCGATGTATTTTGCTCATTTCGCCGAAACCACATCGCCGATTGTATTTTGATTTTTTCGTCAATATCATGTCGCCAATGTATTTTGATGACGTTTTTGGACATGGAGACCATGCAGGAGAACTTCTATTATTTGAAGATGCATCGTTGACTTCTTTGTTTCCTATCTAATCTGCATGTTTCAGGATTCAGTTCCTGCCGGATCACTCAAATGATCCATTCTTGTCTAGTGTAGACGTGAACACATCAAACATCGCCAGGTAAGGCTCTTCGGACCTGATGATTCGGTGGCTCAAGCCGTGGCTCGATGAACGACAGGGGTGAAATGAACGGGCTGAATGTTTCAATGGGATGATGAAAATAGCCCAGATGGGATGATTTTTTTTGCCAATTTGTCAGGGATTTGGAATGATTCTTGGCAGATTTTCATGTTTTTTGATAAAATTTTCAGCTGTGGAAAAATCATCATTGCGATGATTTGCAATGATCTTTTATGTTTTTCAGGTTTTTTCGGCACCAAGCAGCTTAACGGCTTAACAATGCTTAACAGCACTGCCCTGAGGATCAGATGTTGGACCGTTTTGAGGCGTGGCAACGGACAGGGCGTTTTGAGGGCTGACAGATGCTGACAGGGCATTTTAACGTTCGCCACAGGATTGTACCAGCAGCATCCAGCAGCTATGATCAAAATGGGGTGCAAACGTGGTGCAAGGCCATGTGCAGTGAAACCGACTTGAATGTGCCAATTACCTTCCTCCCAAACGTCAACATGGAGGTGCTTGGAAGAGTTGCGCAGGAGCGAAGCATAGCGAAGCTGGATACATTCTCCGGGTTGTGTTGCGTAATGAGGCGTAATGTGTTGGCTTGGATGATCCAAGGTGCTCTGGAACACACACACACACACATTTATCCAATGATACCTATCCAAGGTAGCCACAATTTTGACCCAATTTTGTCAACCATGGCATGCCTTGCTGCTTCTGCCTCTTTCTTCATTAACAATTTCTTACCGTTGGGCAGATGGACACGCAACTCACGACAGATACTTACTTGACGATCTGCAGGGAATAACACCCGCCCTCCAGCTTTACATGGCCTGCTGGAAAATCCTGCAGTTGATAGATGTTCTCATTTGCATGCGAATTTCGTTCAGGGATTTGCAGCCACATTGAATTACAATTATTTAGATATATAATTTCATTGACAACCATTTATTCACCATACATCTGCATTCTTACGCATTATTAGACGAAGGTTAGTCACTTCGTACATGGACCGGACTGCGCAGGACCTGTGTGTGAGCTGCCAGATGACGCAAGACAGGATGATTTTGATCATGGGCTTTGAGGCACAGCGGTGGAGTAGGCCGTGGGCCGTGGGCCATGGCAAGGCCTGGTAGGCTGGAATGTGGCACGCTAGAGTATAGATGGGTTATATGTATAATTATGCATATATATATATGTGTGTGTATCAGTTAAATATCAGCTTTATGTGCATACTTTACATGTAAGTAACCGATGTAACTGTATACGTTTTGGGTTTTCCTGTATATGTCATGTGGGTCACAAAGGTGCTTTGACACTCCAAATGAGAGATTTTTGTGGGCCTCTTGGGCGTATGGATTACCACAGCTTCGATGGCACCCAGGTTTGCCTTTTTTTGGCCGGAAGAATCTGGTAGAATCATGTAGAATCTAAATCTCTTTCTAGTCAACTGACATCTCCCATAATCTTCCACTTTCTAGTCGCTGTTGACAATCTGACCCTAGCAGCTCAGGCGGCAGTGACTTTGGCCAAGCCAATCATGGAACGCTACATTTTGGAGGGGGGCAACCATGCCCCTGACTCCAGAATCGCACCTCGATGGCCATACTAGCGCAGCTGGCAAATTGATCTTCTTTGTCTCTACAAATTGATACCCCGCTACCCCTTCTATGAATCCTTGGTTAATAACGGTTAATATGAAAATTCAGCAGTGGTTCCCATTGCCATGTGAGCGGGCTCCCAAGGCCCAACTGGTAGAAGAAGCTGCCTTTTGGCTGAAGGGAGGGGGGGTGAATCCGAAGTACTGGAAGCGTTTTTTCAGGACATGATGAAACGGCGAAACGGTGGTGAACCGAATGGCTTTGGATCTACTTGGATCTATTTGGATCCAATCTAGATCATCTAGAGCTTTCCTACTCGAGTTAGAGCCTTCGAGCCCAAAGCGGATCGAGGTACAAATGATTTGCGCGGAGTCGGGCCAGACCAATCTAGGAGACCTCGATTATGAAGAGGCAGGCTCTGCCGTATCAGTGGCGCATGTCAGTGCCTTTTGGTGGGTTGTCCCTGCACATGCCTTGAAATAGATGAGATAAGACAGGTAAGAGCAGATATATAAGAAAAGATAGGATAAGATAAGACAAGACACACCACGCACACACAGAACATATGTATCTATTATATATCTCGTGTAATGTATATAAAGTATAAATGTACGTGTACCGTGTACATGTAAATGTACATTGACATGCACCTGCAATTGTACATGTAAACGTAAACGCAAATGCAATGCAAAGGTACGTGTACATGTAAATGTAATGTATGTTATGTCTTGTTATGCATGTATGGATGTAATGCAATGCAATGCAATGGAATGGAATGTAATGTAATGTAATGTAATGGAATGGAATGTGTGTGTGTGTGAAACATCTGAAGAGATGTAAAACTTCTAACTGCTGCTTTCACTTTTTCACCGTTTGCATGTCCTTTATGAAACCTGAATCTGCTGAAATTTTGGTTTGAGTGGATGGCGCTTCATGTCATTTCTTTTTCGTCATACAGCAGGGGGCATGCGGCCATCATGCAAACGCATGCCAACGAAGCTATGCATGATGGTGGAAGCCGGGGCAGATCACCCTGGTGTACCTGCATTGTTGTGATTACCTGTTGTTCAGGGTTTGCTTCCTTTCAATTTTCAATGTCTGATGATGGGAAGAGGCTCGACCCAAGGACCTCCAAGTCGTTTTTGCAATTTTCTGCACTGTTGTCGCAATCTGTCAAGATGGGAACGATTTGGCTTAGTTGAAAGGGAAGGGTCAGCTTCAAACTCATGTCATCTAGCACTGACTATGATGGCGATGGTAGCTTCTTGATACTTCTGGGGTCTTTTCACCGACCCATTCCTGTCAGGTATAATTGGAGTGTTTTTGCACGTAAGATGCGCTCCACAACACAACTCGCAATGATTGTTCTGAGCAAGTGTGTGTATGTATGCACACACACACAGAGCCGGCTGTTTATTTTTTTGTGCGCAGATTGGTATGTCATACCCGCATCAGGCTGCAGAGCTGGTGGAGAAATGGGGACAACTCGTTTCCTGGATGCGAATCAAACCGGGCCATGACACGCGACGATCTGGGAATCTGGTAATGGGCCATATTGGGCCATATTGGGCCATGATAGCTACGGAGAATGGCCCATTTGTAGATCGTTTACCTGAAAGTTTACGTAGAACACAGTGATTTTCCATAGCAAACTGCTAAAGTACCAGAGGGTATGTTGGACCTTGGCCCAGTCGAATCATTACATGATTCTCATTCATGTCAAGTGTGGAATTATTAAAATGCACCCGAATAGTCCGAGCTGCTCTGGCTGCTACCAGGACGGTCCTCCCTAAATAGCTCAGGGATTATTCATCAGAAGCTGGCAGTGTTGTACTTAGAAAATCAAACGCCGCAGCTCACTGATTTGGAAGCGGCGGAGAATTTCTGGCCCTGATCAGCACGGAGGTTGCAGGTTTCCGGAATTTAAAATAGCGCAAGGCTATAAGACTTATAGATTACTATTAATGACATCATGTGATTCTGAACATTATAAAACAACAAATTCAGGTCATGTTCATCCAATTTCATCCATTTAGATCTATTTAATGCACACTTGCCATTTCCGCCGTCAAGGCCATGTGAGGGCGTTCGTCGTCCGTCAGAATGAGCCAACGACGTGGTGCTTTGAGTGGCCATGGATCATGTTAGAACCGAAGATAGAACCGGGTTTCCATGTATTTCCATGATTGTTCAGTGATGTTTCCCTAATGACTTCCAGGTTTTCCAGCTTTGCCTTTTTCTTTTGGGTAGTTGTGACGCAGAGGCGCCAGTGGCTCAAACTGTTTGCCCTTTACCACATAGTCACAGTCGGAAGGCTGGCCTCTCAGGTGGGATGTCGAGCATGGTGCGTGACTGACCGAGCCAGTAAGCCCACTGTAATGGGATGAGATCAGCAACAAAGAATTGGAAAATCCGCGAATCAGAAAAACAAAAAACCGGCCCTCAATATCCTCAATTAACCCAACCCAAATTCAAAACTTTAGAACGAATTTAAGCCAACATCAAATAAACCCGAAACCAACCCGAAATAAGTGCGAAACTCGACACTAACACTATGATTTCATCCAATGAAACTAGTTGCACCCAACACGACCGTGCTTCAACCTACATTCTACATTTTCACAATCAGTACCATATTTAATCTACAGCATTACATTTGAGAATAGTTGTTAGAGCTGCCACCCATCGTTTAAGTGCATGTTTTTGCGCCTCACTTTTCTTGATCAACATTGACATATATGACAAACACCCACACACACACATGGGAGTTTGTAAAAACCCCATTGCCTATTCGTTTAGTCTTCCATGATCCCCCATGAGATCCCATGAGCCATTTTTAGCTTTCACTCGAAAAAACGATGAGGAAAAAAACGATAACGTTGGTTATGTTAATGATCTGTGTCCAGACTCTTGAAATCCAGATTCTTGATTTTTCCATGATTCTGCGGCTATTTAGTGCTTTTGGTCTCTTCTTTTCATGGTTTGTTGTCGTAATGGCGCAGATTCTGCACAAGGAAGGTGCCTTGTAGGTGGTCGCTACACTCCTTTTTTGATGATTGCCAGAAAAAAAAGGAACACACAGGATTCACGAACGCTAACAAAACGATAACGAAAACGATAACTTTTGACTCCTTTTCCTCTCCCTTTCCTCTCCCTTTCCTTTTTCCTGTCTCTTCCTTTACTCTTCCTTTTCCTTCTCCTTTCCTTTTTCCTGTCCTTTTTCCTTTCCTTTTCCGTTTCCTTTTCCTTTCGTTTTCCTTTCCTTTTCTTTTCGCTTTCTTTTTCCTTTCCCTTTCCTTTTCCTTTCCTTTTCCGTTCCTTTTCCTTTCCCTTTCCTTTTACTTTCCCTTTCCTTTTCCTTTCCTTTTCCTCTCCCTTTCCTATTCTTTCCTTTCCCTTCCTTTACTATTCCCTTTCATTTTTCCTGTTCTCGCTCATGTGAATTCTTTGATCAAGGTGTGAAGCCAGCGCTTGGAAAAACGATAAGAGCAAAAAAAAACGATAACGTCTGGAAAAACAATTTGAAAGGGCTCGGGGTTTTTACAACCCCCCGCACACACACACACATATATATATATATATGTATGAGGGACCTTCAGGTCATATTATGCATGTGCTGGCTGCTCAATATATTTGATATTCAAAATAGTCATTTTAATTCACCAGAGCTTTGAAAGATTTAAAAGATTTAAATTCCCAAGAGGCCCCCAGAATCCCACCTTTGGGGATTTAAAAGATTTAAATATTTAAATTTAAATCTTTTAAATCTTTTAATTCCTCAGAGCTTTAAACGATTTAAAAGATTTAAATATTTAATTCTTTTAAATCTTTTAATTCTTTTAAATCTTTTAAATCTTTGAAGTCTCCAGGAATCCTCCAACAATAGGGTCAGCTCACGATTTAAACCTTTTAAATCTTTTAATGCCCCAGAGCTTTAACAGATTTAAAAGATTTAAATCCCATGAGGTCCCCAGAATCCCACGTTCTTTGGGGATTTAAAAGATTTAAAAGATTTAAAAGATTTAAATATGTAATTCGTTTAAGTCTTTTAAATCTTTGAAGTCTCCAGGAATCCTCCAACAATAGGGTCAGCTCACGATTTAAATCTTCTAAATCTTTTAATTCCCCAGAGCTTTAAAAGATTTAACAGATTTAAATCCCAAGAGGCCCCCAGAATCCCACCTTCTTTGGGTATTTAAAAGACTTACAAGATTTCAAAGATTTAAATATTTAAATCTGTTAAATCTTTTAATTCCTCAGAGCTTTAAAAGATTTAAAAGACTTAAATATTTAATTCGGTCAACTCTTTTAATTCTTTTAAATCTTTGAAGTCTCCAGGAATCCTCCAGCAATAGGGTCAGCTCACGATTTAAATCTTTTAAATCTTTTAACTCCCCAGAGCTTTAAAAGAGTTAACAGATTTAAATATTTAAATATTTTGAGTCTTTTAATTCCTCAGAGCTTTCACAGATTTAAAAGATTTAAATTTTTAATTCTTTTAAATCTTTTATTTTTTTTAGATCTTTAAATCTTTGAAGTCTCCAGGAATCCTCCAACAATAGGGTCAGCTTACGATTCAAATCTTTTAAACCTTTTAATTCCCCAGAACTTTCAAAGATTTAAAAGATTTAAATTCCCAAGAGGCCCCCAGAATCCCACGTTCTTGGGGGATTTAAAAGATTTAAATATTTAATTTTAAATCTTTTAAATCTTTTAATTCCTCAGAGCTTTAAAAGATTTAAAAGATTTATATATTTAATTCTTTGAAATCTTTTAAATCTTTTAAATCTTTCAAATCTTTTAAATCCCCCAAGAACGTGGGATTCTGGGGACCTCATGGGATTTAAATCTTTTAAATCCATCAAGGGCATCAGATTTCTGGAACCTTGGAGTCTGGAAACCCTGGAGGATTAATACTTTCAATACGTTTAATACTTTTAATGCTTTTAATAGTTTGAATACTTTGAATATTTTTAATACTTTTAATACTTTTGAAGGCAACGTATTAAAAGTATTAATCCCCCAGGGCCTTAAAACTTTGAATACTCTTGATACTTTTAAAGGCATTAAACGTATTGAAGGTATTAATCCTCCAGGGCCCCAAAACTTTTAATATGTTTAATACTTTTAATGCCTACTAAAGGCATTAAAAGTATCAAACGTATTAAAAGTATTAAACGTATTCATCCTCCAGGGTTTCCAGACCCCAAGGTTCCAGGAATCTGATGTCCTTGATGTTAAAACATATTAAACGTATTAATCCTCCAGAGACTGAACACTTTTAATACGTTTAATACTCTAAAATTCCACAGACTCCAAATTTCGTGTCCTGAGTCCCCAGACCCTGGAGGATTAATACTTTTAATACTTTTTAAAGGCATTAATTCCCGAGGGCCCTAAAACTTTTAACAATTTTAATACTTTTAAAGGCAGTAAAAGTATTAAAGGCATTAATCCTCCAGAGCCTCAAACTTTTAATACGTTTCAATATCACGGACTCCAAATTGCGTATCCTTTGGAGTCCCCAGATCCTGGAGAATTATACAATACTTATAATATTTTAAAAAGTTTAGAGCAGCAGGACAAACTCAACAAACACCAGCAAATCGATGTACACAAAGGACAATGAGAATGAAAGCTCAAAGCTGGTTGAGATAAGAGAAGAATCTCAAAAAATGGAGCATTGGCGTATTAAAGCCAACAATAGAACTAAAACATATGTGATATGAAGTTCACTTCTTTTTTTTGCCCTTCTCCACTCCCTCGTCCCAGTTCTGAATTCAATTCCTCTTCCCTATTCCTTTTGCCTTTTCATTTTCACTTCTTACTTCCTTTCCTTTCTTGCCCTTGTCCTTTTATTCATTTTCCGTGGAACGGTCTGACAAATATGCCGCATGCACTGCACAATTCTTACAATAATTTACTTGTCATGTTCCTTTGTATTTTACTTATCCTTGGCATATCCAATGTTCATTTTCCTGTTCCACATTGTGTGTGTGTGTTCCATTTTCATCTTCACGTTTCCGCTTTGTAATCTCATTCCTTCTGGTGAAGACGAGGACCAAAAACACATTCGAAAGAATAGGAGTATGAGCAAGGAAAATGAAGAGGGCGAGGACAAAGAGGAAGAGAGAGGCGTACAAGGAAAGGGAATAGAAACGTGGAAAAGAACAAGTAGGAGGCAATTGGAAACAGAAGTGCAAAAGGAAAAAGAAAAGAGATAACGAAAGGAAGTTGCAACGGTTGAAATGAGGAGACAGAGGAAGAGAGGTTATATAATGTGTATAGTCTGCATCACACGCGGGAGTACCCATTTTGCCGCCGTGCCATTGCCCGTTCACCTTGGCCAAGGAAGGCAGAGAGGTGACAAGGAAGTAGAGTAAGACAGGGAAGAGAACAGATGAAACAAAGAGGAAGAAAGAACGAGGGAGAGAATAACAAAGAAGAGACGGAAGATGAACACGGAAACAAGTGCAAGGTGAAAAAAA